TGAGTGGCAAATAAACTCACTCGCTGGACCCCTGCAAAGAGTCTTTGAATGGAAGAGTTCTCATTTCCATTCAAAGCACTGGGACTGTTGTTGCCTGGCCCAAGTGGGATGGGTGGTGGCGGGCTCAGGGAGCGACCTCGATGGGAACAGAAAGTTCTTAGGAAGTTCTGAGCTGTGGCTCAGTGGCAGAGCACATGCTGTGCATGCAGAAGTTCCTGTTGTTCCTACAAGACTGGTCTGCTTGACAAAGGAGAGCCCTATTGTGAATCCACACATTATGTGGAATCAGGACATTCACAGCCAGTTCGCTCTACTGCGTTCAGTGCAAGGCCTGCTCTATCCAGGCAGAATCCAGCTCCTGTTGCTCAGTCCCAGCTTCTGCCAACCTAGCAGTTTGAAAGCACACCAGTACAAGTACATAGATAGGTACTGCTGCGGCGGGAAGGTAAACAGTGTTTCCATGCGCTCTGGCTCTTGTCACAGTTCTCTGTGAGCCAGAAGCAATTCAGTCATGCTGGCCACATGACCCAGAAAGCTGTCTGTTTGCAAACGCTGGCTCCCTTGGCCTGAAAGCGAGATGAGCGCCACACCACATAGTCACCTTTGACTGGACTTAACTGTCCAGGGGTCCTTTACCTGTTTACCTTACCTTACCCAGGCAGAAGACGAAGGTGGTACGAACCCTGTGATGGTAGAACAGACTGTTATGATCACAGGTTGTGTACACACTATACCTTTAAAGCACATGTGAAACATACTGTTTCCCTCAAAGAATCCTGGGCATTGTAGTTTACCCCCTCACAGTTACCATTCCCAGCAACCAATAATAATAGATTGCAGTGCCCATAATTCTTTCAGGGCAAGAATGTGCTTCAAAGGTACAGTGTCTATACAGCTTCAGACTGCAGCTAGGACACCTGTTTTGAATGCTCCCCCTTGTTTTGTTTTTAAAATCCTGCTACTAAGAATTCTGCACATAACTCAGCACATTCCCTGTCAGGATGGTTTCTGTGTATGGAGAGTTTTCAAAAATATAATCGTCTACCACCACCCATCTGCAACTTGAAGTGGTACAGTCAAATCCTCAGATCTATACCACTTCATTCTACTTCCTGTGTCATGTTGACTATGCCTGACCCTGACTCACTCCAAAGCATAGGAACCAACTCCTAGGGGCCGAGGTCCCTTCGGACCCCCATAAAATATTTGAGGGTGGCACGCCCTGCCAAAGTTGATGGGCATTGCCATTCAAATGGGGTGTGTGTGTGTGTGTTGTGATCCATTATGTGGGGCAGAGTTTACCTCCCGCCAACAATATTTTATTCAAGTTGGCACCCCTGCTCCAAAGGAAGTGTGCATAGGATTGTAGCCTAAGATGGCGGGGTTCTGGACTGTACCACTTCAGATTACAGGTTGTGAAGAATCATGTTTGTGATTGCTTCCCTTGTGTTTAAAAATGGGGGGGGGGGAGGGAGTTCCCTACATGTAGCAAAGTGGTACATTAAGGAAAGGGTTATGCCTTATTCCCTTAAGTCTGGGTTTTGTCACCTTGTATTTTGTCGTCAAACTGAATTTCATCACACGGCCACACACAGAATTGAGTTTCACCACAGAATCCAAGTCCCATCACCAAATCCCTCCTTTTTTTCCACACTGCCTGGTTTCCTAAAAAGGAACACCAGCTGCTACCAAAGAGAGAGGAAGGGGGGGGGGATCCCTTGTACTCTGAGACCAACGCGAAGTGCTGTGATTAAGCGGGCTCATGCAAATCTATTTCATTTGATTCAGTTAGAGAATTTGGGTTTTCTGGTCACATAAAATGTAGGACGCCCTTCTTGACACCCTCCCTTCATAACCTTCTTTTAGAAATGCGGTTCAGACAGATCTCCACAAGGCTCTCCTTCTTCTCCCATGCTGCAAGCCTTTTCTTTCTTCCTTTTCTTTTTTACAGCTTTTCTTTTTAAACACTCTTCTCCCTGAACATCCTTTTAAAGATGTGAATGTGAAAAACCCGGCACGGTATAAATAATTTATCTTTTATATAGCTCTTACTCCTGGCACTTCTTCACAGTTCTCATCTTCTGCCCTGCCTATTTCACTGTTTCTCTGTGAAGAAGAGCTCTCGCAGCCTTAATATATGCCCCACTGTGGCACTGCCAAGGTGTGGCTGCAGCCTTTCTTTCACTTACCTCTCTCGCTGAGCCCCCAGGGAGAGGCACCAGGCAGGGCTGGCGTCAGTGGCCAACATTGCTGGGCGGTTGTTGGGGCCCGAGCTGATCCCCTTTTATGGCATTCCAGTGAGCACTGCTTCAACTTGGAGCCACCATTTAAATTACATTCAAATCCCTGGAGCGCCCCCAGCGCAGACTCAAGAGGAGCTCTGCTGAATCAGACCTAAGGGCTCTATAATCCAGCAACCCATTTCGCAGATTGGCCAACCAGGTGCCCACGGGAAGCTCACGTGCAAGACAGGAGGGCAATGGCCCTTTTCTGCTGGTGTTCCCCAGCAACTGTGACACCACCACCCCGCCATACACACGACACCTTTAAAGCAGATTCAAATCACAACCCACCCCCATGAAAGAATCCTGGGGACCCCAGGTTTCCCCATACAGGGCTATAATACCCAGGATATTGACAAACTACAGTTCCCATGAATTTGGGGAGGGTAAAGGTAAAGGGACCCCTGACCGTTAGGTCCAGTCACAGACGACTCTGGGGTTGCGGTGCTCATCTCACTTTATTGGCCGAGGGAGCCGGCGTACAGCTTCCGGGTCATGTGGCCAGCGTGACTAAGACGCTTCTGGCGAACCAGAGCAGCACATGGAAACGCCGTTTACCTTTCCGCCAGAGCGGTACCTATTTATCTACTTGCACTTTGACGTGCTTTTGAACTGCTAGGTTGGCAGGAGCAGGGACCGAGCAACAGGAGCTCACCCCGTCGCAGGGATTCGAACCGCCAACCTTCTGATCGGCAAGTCCTAGGCTCTGTGGTTTAACCTACAGTGAGGGTAGGATGTGCTTTGAATGTGCTTTGAAGGTATAGTAGGTATACCCACACTCACCAGCCCTACTGAAGAGGCTCCTCATGAGGACGGAGGAACATCACCTGACTATTGCTTTATTGCTTTAATATGCTGTACACCGCTTTGAGGTTTTTAGTAAAAGTATAAAGTGGCAAATAAATAAATAAATAAATAAATAAATAAAGCAGCCTCTTAAGTCTCACCCAAAGAAGAGAAAGGCATCACTCAGACCCTCCAAGTGTCCCTGTTTTCCAGGGATATCAGCCCCAGATTAACAGCAGCTGTCCCAGTTTCTGATTTGATCCTCCCAGAATGTCCCACTTTTCCTTAGGACGTCCCTATTTTCATCGGAGAAATGTTGGAAGGTATAGAGTTATGCAGCCCCTGAGCCAAGGAGATAAGTAACCTTTAGAAGACATCTGAAGGCAGCCCTGTTTAGTTTTATTATGTTTTTTATTTATGTTGGAAGCGTTCCAGAGTGGCTGGGGCAACCCAGTCAGATGGTTGGGGTATAAATAATAAAATTATTATTATTATGGAATAGGACGTCCCTATTTTCATCAGAGAAATGTTGGAGGGTATACATCACTTTTTTTATAAAAAAAAAAGAAAACAAAGGATTTGTCTGTACACAGATCTGTATAAGCTAATTTATATGTCTGGGTGCAAAATGTAGAAATAATACTGGAAGAAGTATAAAGCCATCGTGAATGGTAGCCATCGCTAGCCAAATCTGCCACAAATTCATCTAATCCCATTTTAAATCTGTCCAAGTGGGTGGCTGTCATGGCAAAAAAACCAACCACCTGCACAGTCCAGAACTTCCATGAATGTAAATACCTCAAATAGCAAAAGACCATACAAACATAAAATGATCAAACTCTCATGTCATAACAGATTACGGAAGCAAATTCCACAAAAATACAGGGCATTTGTGTCACCATTTAAATTCCCCACAATGCCCCAGAGCGCCTTTACATCACAAAAGTTCAGCTCTAGTTAGCCTTCATTTCTGCAGGCAAATGTAGGTGGGAAAGCTGTTGTTTTGTTACAGCTAGCTGCTAAAAAATTGGGTCAGGAATCCTTGCCAATCTACTGCAACATCGCTCAGAGATCTATTAGCAGATCCCAACCTGCCTTCTACCTGCTGTAAACAAGAGGTGGTGGTGGACTTTGGGCCTGGGGGACAAAAGTGCCCCCCTCCCAGTTTCCCTCTGCGGCCCTCAGGACTCAAGCCAGACCCTTCCTCAAGCGCCTTAAACTGCGATAATGCCTCTTACTTGGGTGACAACCGCACCACAGAGCTTTCCCCCAGAGAGCAACAATTCACAGCACCCTTAATAAACTGGGTTCTTGTTCTGGGGTGGGAGGGCAGAAGCCCTGTGCTTTGAATGTACGACGTGAGTGTGACCTTGCTTACCTGCATGGAGGATGAAGAGGTTTCTTTGTGTAAGGAAGTCTGGTTTTTGTGTGGCTGGAATACAGCCTACACGGTACAAGAGTGGCATCTGCTGCCTGCCCACTTTGTTCCCCTGGCACTGCCCACCACTGTTTTCAAGCCCCAGGAAATTGCTCACTAATGAATACGGAAAATATGAGGGGAAAAACACCACCACATTTCCCCTCCTCTGCTCTAAACCATATTTAAAAGCAGAAAGGGAGACTTCTCTCCTCTTTGTCTCACACGACACTCCATTGAAAACATACTCTCCCCCCTTCTTTTATGCCTCTGTCAATGGTTAGATCATAGAGTAGAATCATAGAGTTGGAAGAGACCCTGAGGGTCATCCAGTCCAACCCCCTGCAATGCAGGAATCTCAGCTAAAGCATCCATGACATAGAATCGTAGATGTATAGTTAGAAACCACATGCCCTAAGCCCACCCCTTCTATCTCCTTCTGGCATCCTCTCCAGCTTGTGGCAGCGCCAGATCACTGGCCTCCACTGCAGGAACCACTGCCCACTTCCTCTCACACACCCTGATCCATATATATATATATATATATATATATATATATATATATATATATGGACATGGGTGGCACTGTGGTCTAAACCACTGAGCCTATGGGGCATGCTGATTGGAAGGTCGGCGGTTCGAATCCCAACGACAGGGTGAGCTCCCGTTGCTCTGTCCCAGCTCCGGCCACCTAGCAGTTCGAAAGCACACCAGTGCAAGTAGATAAAGAGGTACTGCTGCAGCAGGAAGGTAAACGGTGTTTCCGTGTGCTGTGGTTTCCGTCACAGTGTTCCGTTGCTCCAGAAGCGGCTTAGTCATGCTGGCCACATAACCTGGAAAGCTGTCTGTGGACAAACACCGGCTCCCTCGGCCTGAAAGTGAGATGAGCACCACAACCCCATAGTCGCCTTTGACTGGACTTAGCCGTCCAGGGGTCCTTTACCTTTTTACCTATATATATATATACATATATATATATAGAGAGAGAGAGAGAGAGAGAGAGAGAGAGAGAGAGAGAGATGTACACCACCAGTCACCGACCACCGTAATTTGTGTACAATTGTGTATAAACAAACTAAGCAGATAAAACTGCCAGATTAAATTATAAATTATACACAGCCTTACCTGCCAGTGGCACCACCAGATTTGGCAGGCCCAGGATGGACTGTATTACTTAGAGTATGTACTGGATCTTCCTCCAAATTTGGCAACATGTCACATTTTGAGGGGAAAACGCAAAGCATCGTTGGAATGGAATAATGAAACTGAACATATTTATAGCATCTGAGCATGGAAGTGTGCATTTGGGGTTGCATAAGCATGTGTTGATGTGCATTTTGAGAGAAAAGGGGGGGAATAGCTGGTTTTGGACTTTCCCAATCCCCATTGGACAGTATCTGGGACTTCTTCTGACATTTGGCTCTTCTCCCACACACCTGTTCATAGATTGCTTCTTCAGGTTCTGATTTTTACCTGGCTCTTGGAGGACTGCTTGAAACCAGAAGAGCATCCCATACCGCTTCTACTTTGAATGCTAATTACTCCCATAGGAATGACGTCATTTACAATGCAGGCACCCCATGCGATGAAATTATTGCTCGTGTCTCGCTAGTAGAACCTAGATGCATTCTCCAGGGCTGCTTCTCTCCCTCCCTGTCCATCTGTATTGCCAACATTAAGGCTGCAAGTACCACTGCACAGATAGCCAAAGAGTACAGTGGTACCTCGGGTTACATATGCTTCAGGTTACAGACTCCGCTAACCCAGAAATAGTAACTCGGGTTATGAACTTTGCTTCAGGATGAGAACACAAATTGTGCTCTGGTGGCGCGGCAACAGCGGGAGGCCCCATTAGCTAAAGTGGTGCTTCAGGTTAAGAACAGTTTCAGGTTAAGAACGGACCTCCGGAACGAATTAAGTACTTAACCTGAGGTACCACTGTATCTCCCACATACCAGAGGGAGGTACAGTGGTACCTCGGGTTAAGAACTTAATTCGTTCCAGAGGTCCGTGCTTTCACTAATGGGGCCTCCTGCTGCCGCTGTGCTGCTGGCATGCGATTTCCATTCTTACCCTGGGGCAAAGTTCTTAACCCGGAGCAACCACTTCCTGGTTAGCAGAGTTTGTAACCCGAAGCGTCTGTAAGCCGAAGCGTCTGTAACCCGAGGTACCACTGTATTCAACAGGCTTGAAGGAACTCCCAGGGTTTGTAGCAATACAAAAATATTTTTTGGGGGAAACCCCAACATGGGGGACCTCTAAAACAACCCCATGAGCATGCTCAGTGGCCACAGAATGCTGAGTGACTGTTGCGGGTGGGAACTGTGAACCAAGAGGGAGAGGATACAGAAGGGAGCAACTTGAACTGGAGCACTCCACACGCTGCAACATTGTGTTGCAGTTCCCGCTTGAAGCACGCCAATAGTGAAAGTTTGCAGGTAGCATGTAGTCCACAGCAGGGGTGGAGAAAAATAAGACCGTAGGCCACTGCCAGACCACGTGTCAGTGTCTAATCGACCCCCACATGCACACCTCCTGGCTGCTAGGAGCTTTGCAAACAATTATGCATGGGGTGGACCTTGAGTTGCATTCACATGGCAGCTTATTCCATTTTCATGACATTTCCCTATTAATTTCCACATCATATCTGCGCTTTCACATAAGGTAAAAGCCACTTCTGAAACTATATAGTTGAACTGGAGTGGAATGTAGTGTAAATATAACATCCCTTTCCATATTTTTTTGCAAACATTTTTTTTTCCTGGAAGCAAATATCATGGAAACTTGCCCTATATTCCTCTATAGCTCAAGAAGCGGCTTTTCTGTTGTGTGAATGCTCAAATATAATGCGGCGCTTAACAATTAAGAGAAAGGTCTGGAAAGATCCTGTGAATTCAGCCTTGGTTGGACCAAGTAAGGCATTTGCATTCTTAAAGAGTACTGGATACTCGAGATCACTTAGCGCAGATTAGTTAACTGTTCAAAGATCCTGAGTATCCACTCTTGCTTTGCAGTCTAAAGCACATTAGTGGACCATCAGAATTCTGGAAGGCAATGCTGATCATACAACAAGGCTGGGGTTAAATCATCTCTAGTTTTAAGCAGTACAATCCTGCCTCTACTTTTCCATGCTTAAAAATCAGAGAGACTTGCATGTATTTGGGTTCTCAATTTCAGTCTTAAGGACCACTCCTATTTGTGTTTACTGAGAACTATGTCCCTTTAAATTCCATGGGGCTTCTTTCCATTTAAGTATATTTCTATTTAGAATTGCAGCCGTAGTATGTGTTTGTGGGCAGAATATACTGATTCTTAATAGTGGTAGATACCTGGGAAAGTGCAGATTGTCAGAAGACTGTGTGATCTGCATTGTGTAGCTTCTCAGCAGGAAGTATTCAGAAATGTGGCATTAATAGAAGCTTCTTGTGCAGGGCTGGCCCACCCACGAGGCAAGGTGAGGCAACCACCTCAGGTGACAGGATCCATAGGGACAGCAGGCCTCAGTGCATAATTTATTTGCCCCTTGTTCCTTATGTAGAACTTCACTCACCCCTTCTTCCCTGGTGGGGAGGGGTACCATTTCATGGTTCGCCTCAGGTGCCAAAATGTCTTGGGCCGGCCCTGTTTTCGTGGTAGGGAAAAGGCCTTGCCAAATCTTCCTGCTCAGAAGAGAGGTTTAAAAAAGGGAAGACTCCCAGTCTTAATATCTTTTGTATGGTCCCAAGTATCATTTTCAGGGATATATATGGAGTGGACTCCACTCAAGATTTGTGTTGGGTTTACTCCAGGCTTCCTCAACCTCGGCTCTCCAGATGTTTCAAGACTACAATTCCCATCATCCCTGACCACTGGTCCTGCTAGCTAGGGAGCATGGGAGTTGTAGGCCAAAACATCTGGAGGGCCGAGGTTGAGGAAGGCTGGTTTACTCCTTAGTTTCTTCTTCTTCTGAAGATCCCACAAGACAATTAGAGGTTTAGAATCAGAGTTCTCCTTCTCTTAGATGGGCTACCTTCCCAGGGCTGATGAGCCCCACCTGCCCCTCAATTCACCATGTGCGGGAACTGCCTTCTTGACTGTTGGACCCACCATTGGTCTCATCCGTTGCAGCCTGTCTTTGCTTGCATGCAGAAGTCCCTAATTTATCAAGGCTACCCTTACTTAGGATGCGGGTGGCGCTGTGGGTTAAACCACAGAGCCTAGGACTTGCTGATCGTAAGGTCGGCGGTTCGAATCCCCGCAACGGGGTGAGCTCCCGTTGCTCGGTCCCAGCTCCTGCCAACCTAGCAGTTCGAAAGCATGTCAAAGTGCAAGTAGATAAATAGGTACCACTCTAGCGGGAAGGTAAATGGCATTTCCGTGTGCTGTTCTGGTTCACCAGAAGTGGCTTAGTCATGCTGGCCACATGACCCGGAAGCTGTACGCCAGCTCCCTCGGCCAATAAAGCGAGATGAGCGCCACAACCCCAGAGTCGGCCACGACTGGACCTAATGGTCAGGGGTCCCTTTACCCTTTACTTTACCCTTACTTGGTGTGGATAGCCAGTCAAAGCCATTCCCGGGTGCAGCCGCTGTCGCATGCTGACAGCTCCTAGGAGCTACAGGTGAGAGCTGAGTGCAAGATGGAGACCAAAGGTGGACAATCTGCCCCAGAAGGAGCGTGACGTGGCCTTCCCCTAACACCCCATACACACTATTACGTTAATGAGCAGTAAATAAACAGTGATAAAAATGTTCCCCTGGGGAAGCTGCTTCTCTGAACCACCTATAGCCATATACAAGACACACAGAGCACGTTCCTCCATCCAGTCTTTTATGAATTCACATGCAGAGCTACTTTGTAACAAGAGTGGGGGTCATCACGTGGGGATCGTGTCCCATTGATGACGACAACAACAAAAAGACAACAAAACAACAACAACAGGCTGGTTCACACCAGCTGAGAGATTTGGCTTTGGGACTAGGAGACTCAAATATTTGAAAGTGCTTTTAAAACAATCGGATCAAATTAGCTGGATTAATGAGTGTCAGGGGATCTGTGAATTCATTCTGGATGGGGAGGGGGGAGAACAGTTTTCTGCATCCTTCTTACGTTCTAATAGCTAAAGGCTTTCCTCTTGCATCCTACCCCCTTCACTAACAGTCTTATTAATTAATATATTCAATTAATCAGCTAATTCATTTATTTGCCCTCCATTGATTGATGGATCTATCCATCCATATCTCTCCCCCGATCCCTTTTGTCTTCTGCATTTCCCCTTTCTCCATTCACAAGTATCACCATCAGGTTATCTTTCTGTCTCTGCAACAGACTGAAACAGGCAGGTGGATTTATGTAGTAAAGATAACCCAGCCGTAGAGAACAGGCTTTGCATGCAAAACTCCCCAGCTTCAATCTCTGGCATTTCCAGGTTACAGCTCTGGCTGGGGCTGAAGGGAGTTAGGAGTCTAACACACCTGGAGGGCACCAGATGAAGGAAAGCTGCTCTAGAGACCTACGGTACAGCTCCCATCATCCTGAGCCATAGCCATGCTGGCTGAAGTTGATGGGAGTTGGAGTCTCACCACTCTGGAGGTCCACAGCA